CTCTGCTTCTTGGAAGGTGATAACTACATTCCCCCACCCTTCCACCCTTACTGCTCAGAGATCCTCACAGAGCAAGCAGGCGCTCTGGTTTAAAGAATTAATCTGCCAAAGACTGCAGCCGCTCCTCTGAAGTCAGATTATATTTTAAAAGGTCTATAGACATTGAAACTTTGCTACAGGAAGTTAAACTCACTCAAAAAATAAATAAATAAAGGTTAAGGAATGCATCTAGAATTCCAATTTAATCCCCAAGTTAAAACTGTTCGTTGCACTCCCAAATAGCATGCGAAAATAGCACAAATAAATATCTGTATGTAGGTACTCTTGTTTTTTAAAATATTGAATTTTCATTTGACAAAGTTAGGCTTTCTTGTGTGTTTTATCAGCAGAATAGAGCTGGTTTTATTGACAAAAGCTGTGCTTTTACATTGTATTTAATATTATCTTAAAATTTTTTGGAGTGGGGCAGATACACATAACATAGATGTAGAAGATCCTTTCCTTAAGAAATCGAAACTCACTTCCTCAGTAAGAAAGAGCCTGTAATTTACAAAGAACTATTTATTGAACTTGGACTGATTTTCTCCCAGGGAAGGGAAGTGGTGGGTTTATAAAAACATATACAAAATATTTTTTTAAAAAGCTAAAATGCTCAAAACTCCAATTTAAAATCTCTCTTACAAAATTACCAAAGCTTGGAAAAAATTTCCTCTCAAGGAATTAGATGATTTTAATGCTTCTGGGACTGACCTACCTAATTGACATTTCTTTAAAAGTAGAAAAATTGTTTACCCTTCCACAAATTACTATTGCCTCTAGATTGCTCAAAAATTCAGAGAGCTTTCCAATATCCTTCAACTAAAAATTAAACCAAAACACATACTATCAACAACAATGAAATAACAAGAACTTATTTGATGCTACTGCCAAAGAAGAAATGTCTTTTTTTTTTTTTTGGTAAGATGTCATTGAAAATGAAATTTCTAGAAGAGCAGTAAAAAATTAAACATTCAGTGAAAAAAAATTTACCTGTAATGTTCTATAGTTTTGCCTAGCTGTGTTCATCACAGGATTATTTCTCATACTTTAATAGACAATTATCTGACTGTGGTGCTACATTTAGATTAGAAGTAATGATAATTTCCGAGTTCTTTGTGACTGTGGTTACATAAATTAAATGGTTATTTGAATAGTTGGAAGGTAAAAACATAAGCAGTGGGACATATAACTAAAATGACTGGTATCTGCCTGTATTTCTATGTATATTAATTAAGCAACTTTTGTATAAAGAATAGTAACTTATGGGAACACTTTATAGTTTTCAAAGAATCATCACATTTTTATTTGATAATATATTTATTGTAATGGTTAGCTCGTGGCTTTTCTCCAAAAAAAAGGTATAATTTTACAAATATCACTTATGCATCTATACAGCTTTTCCCCCTCATAGAATCTGCCATCATTTTACTATGATCTTTGATCATATATGGGAGAAGGGGGATTTGCATAAATGTGTAACGTGACAAAAGCCTAAAAATGTAGGCAGATACACTCGATTAAAATAACATCAAACGCTTCCTTGGTTGCAGAGATATTTACTTTATCTGACAGTAATTAGGTAAACTGACTGGAACGAAAACCTATTATTAGTCGAGCACAACTCCAGGATTTCAAAGATCCCTTTTTCAGGCAAGAGAATGCAAATGCCCCAGAACGCGATCGTAACTGGATACACGCGTTGGAACCAGATTCCGCATTCTGGTAAGTGCCTCCCGAGACCCCGGCTGGCTGCTGTAGTGTAACTACCGCCCTGGCATTCATTGTCCCCCCGGACACCGGCGCGCAGCTGGCGGCACACAAGCTCGCGGCCCGCGTCCAGGCTGCGGGCGCGGGAACGGCAGGCTGCCCAGATGGAATTGACCTGGTGGGGATCCTCGGTAGGAAGCTCCGCTGCAGGGGAACCAGACTGACCAAAGGGAGCCTGAACCACCAGGAAGAAGGCAGCGGGGGACGTCCTAAGCGCCAGCTCCCGTCGTGAGGCCAAGATCAGCTCTAGGTAGAAGTCTCCTGCCGGCTAGATCGGCCCTGCGCAGGGTTAGGGATAAGAAGAGAAAGGGGGTACAGGGCAGCTGGGCCCCTGTGGGGCCCACGCTCTGGATCTTCACCGCCTCCAGCCCCTCCGGCCTGAACGATGTCCCTGGGGGGCCTGTCGAGGAGCTACCCAGTCAGAAGCTGCAGGAGAGATCCACTGAGGCCTGGTGCAAGGGTAGCTGGCGGGATAGTGGTGTCAGTGGGTTTGGTGGAGAGGGGACCGCGCGGACCTGCGAGTAAGGAGGAGACAGGCTTCTTCGTGCTCAGTGAGGAGGCAACCTGGTGGACTCCCGTCAGCAGCGGTGCCTGTGTGGGCATGTTCCCAGGGCCCCTGGCCACGGGTCTAAGATGGGCTTTCTTAGAGACCAACTTAGGGAAGGCCTAAGAACGACGTGCTGCGGAGAAGCAATAGAATGTAGCAAAGAGAAATGCAAACTTGGATTGGAAACTGGGGAAAGAAAGATATTTGGTAGCTTTTGCTTTTTTCCTTTTTTTCCCCTCTTAAAATCACTCAAAACAACAACAGACAAACAAAAACCACCACCCAAAGAGGTGGGGGGGAAAATGGGAACCAGAAACTTTCGCCCCAGATGGTTAGCTCAGGGGGGATGGGGTGGAGTGGGGCTGGAGCTCAGCTGCCTTCTTTTAGGCTCGCCTGCCAACGCGACGCACATCCACTAGGACCCCCACCCCACAGTGCCGCGCACTCACCCCCACCTCTCTCTGGATCTTTTGCGCCCGAGGGGTCGCGAGCCGCAGCAACACCCGGCGCATTCTTCTCTCTGCAGCCCCTGGCCTGGTTTGGGAGACGTCGGCCCCGCCTGGGACGTCAATAGTCTCAATTCCGAGAAGACAGGCACCGGGCGCCCCTGCGACTGAAGAATGGGTGTACCAGCGCAGGGCCCTGCCCACAGAGGGTCTCCCCCACCACCCGCCAGTCGCCGCCACCCTAAGTACTCCCGGGTGCACGTGGCCCGCGCCGCATCCCAGCTCCCCGGGCGGCCTCAGGGGCTGACTCCCCGCACCATTTCCGCTCCCTCCTGAACAGCCCCGCCTCTCTCCCCTCCCGCCCTTCTTTCCTTGGCTTTGGGTACCCACAACTCCTAAAATCGCGGGGCCCGAAGGGCTGCTCTCCACTGTTGCCCCACAGTCCATCCCCGGTGTGCCTCGCCCGCCCCGGGGGCGTCGTCCACAGTCCCTGCACCTCCCACCCGCCCCTTCCAGCTGAGGCCGGTCTCTCCTGCTCCACCATCTTGGCCGCCAAAAATTGCTTGGGGCGCCCAGGTTAGGCTGGAACCGGTCTCTGTATTTTTCAGGGCCAGTGCTGCGCCTGGGTCTTTCTGTGGGCCTCACAGTAGCGATCGCTGCTCCCTGCTCCTTACTGGGTGAGGCGTGGCGGCCGGCGAATGCCTATTGTGCGGAAGATGATCTCCACCAGCGTGGAATTTCCAGGACCTCAGGGAACCCCTCAGATTCGTCCAGAAAACACCCGGGGCCGCACGAGGGCGCCAGAAGGCGTATAGGTTGGAGAAATTAGAAAGACACCTCCGAGGGTAGAGACCTAGCCCCCGGTTTCAATATGCAGAAAAAAAGACCTCTCTGGCTGGGTCACCTCCCTCCTGACAGATACTGCTCTCAAGACCCTACGAGGCCACCCAGTGTGTGCAGCGCTCGGGCCACGCCATCATCAAGGCAGTCAACAAGCGCTGCTTGATCTCTGGTGCAGAATAATGGTAGTTGAGGTGTCCTGAGCATTTTAAGATGTGTGGGACCCTGCACTAAGCTCCTGGCATATGTTGTCATTTATCCCTGGCAATAACCCCTGAAGAAGTATTCTTTTTGTAGACAAAGAAACTGAGGCTTAGAAATGCTCACACACCGACTAGGTCAGGATTCAAACCAAGAACTGTCACCAAGTTCAGTAACAACTCTGTCCTCCTGCCTCTCACCTACCTGCTTAGTGCATCAGCTGCAAGAACTACAAGGACAAATGCAACCGGGACCCTGCCCCCCCCCCGGGGAGGGCTCACAGTTTACCCCCAGGCGACCAGGCCAGCAATATCTAGTGCAAGGTGGGAAGTGCTAAGTGACACGAATGTCCTTTAATAACAAGCGCTGCAAGTTTAGATGCAGGAGAGATGACTTCCGGCTAGATAATCGGGGAGCGCTTCCTTGGAGGAGGTGGTATTTGAGCAGAGCCGTGGAGAAGAGCTCTCCACTCATGGAGACAAGGGCAGGAAAGACGTCCAAGTGGAAGGCACAGCTTGAGCAAAGTCAACAAGTCGGGAACAGACACGTTGCGCATCCATAGGTACACAAAACATTCCATCTTCTTGGGAATCCAGAGGCCGGTATTTACAGGCCAGGAAGTTTTCTTGCCCTGCAGCAGCTGGAAAAACCACGCTCCTGGCAGCTGGCTCGCGGACAAGAGGCCTCCCAGAACTGGCCCTGGCCGGAAAGGTAGGGCCAGGCGGGACGGGAATCGGTAGTTCGGGCACCCAGGGCAGTGCAGCCTCACCCACAACGACTTGGACTTCGCGACTCTATACTAGTCCTTTATTTCTGGTAGCGCCACAGCACCCCAACTCCGTGGATGCGGGGGGGCGTGGTCCGCATGAGCCAGAACCAATGGGGAGGGAGGCCGAGGCGAGAGCCCCGCCCCCGACGTGACGCACGACCCCCGGACACAGGCTTCGCAGCCCCGGCCCCAGTCCCTGCAGTGGCTGTAACAAAACCCAGACCCCCAGGTCCGGGCCAATGGAGGCGATTTAGACTGGAGCCGGACCGCGTCTGTCAAAAGCCCGACTCGGCAGCAGCGGCAGAGTCCAGGAGAGCTGGAGCCGCAGCGCTGCTTCCCCGCCCCCGCCGGGATTTATTGAGTATTTGGACTGGACAATTAAGTGGCCCTGATGATGTTACCAAGCCCGGTCACCTCCACCCCTTTCTCAGTCAAAGACATTTTGAATCTGGAGCAGCAGCAGCAGCACTTCCACGGCGCGCACTTACAGGCGGACTTGGAGCACCACTTTCACTCGGCGCCGTGCATGCTGGCGGCCGCCGAGGGGACGCAATTTTCTGACGGAGGAGAGGAGGACGAGGAGGAAGAGGGAGAGAAACTGTCCTATTTGAACTCACTAGCCACAGCCGACGGCCACGGGGGTTCGGGGCTCTGTCCCCAGAGCTATGTCCACACAGTCCTGCGAGACTCGTGTGGCGGGCCTAAGGAACACGAAGAGGAGCCCGAGGTCGTGAGGGACCGGAGCCAAAGTGAGTAGAGGGGGAAAGAAAACGCACCCGCACATCTGGAGCAATGGCGGAGCGCCCGCAAACAGCCCACAAACCCGGCCAACACTGCTTCCCGCCCCTTTAACCTTTGGCTGGGGTCATGCCTCACCCTGGTCAATGACAGCTCCGCAAAGCACAGGTGCCTGCGCGGGAGCCGGGGCGGAGGGAGAAGGACAACTACCCCTCCCAGGAGGGGAGAGTCAATGCAAGCCCCCAAGGGAAGGGAAAGTAGTCCTTGCTGCCCTGACGCTGATAAGCAACACGGGTTCAGGGGCTGGATCCTGACAACTCACAGCATTTTTGTTCTTCCCAAGAGCTAGAGAGACAAGAGCTCAAATCTCTTCCTGTTCCCCCCTAGCGTGAGATGAGGTCTTTGAGGCTGGGACAGCCGTCCCCTCTTCTCCAAAAAGATGATCCAAGCAGGTTGAGTTGGCAGGGCGCAGGAACTTTGGTAGAGACCTGCTGGGTGGTTTCCTCACTTCTCTGCTTCAAGTTCAGTGTCCTGGCACCCGCAGCACCCGGCAGAGAGGGAGGGGATGGCCGGAGAGTGCTTGGGAACACAGTCCATTAGGGGCCTGCAAAGCATCAACACCCCTGAGGCGCTGGCCTTTTTTTTTTTCTTTTTGAAAATTCATAATGTTATGCTTTGTGTCCCAGGCTGTGGGACTGCAGGCCGATTGAAAAACGCGCCGAACCTAGTCCTAGATCCCAGCGGCTCACATCGGATGGGAGGTGAATTGGGTAGGGAAATCGGATAACTGAATAAAGCCCCCAGGGAAGTGTTTGTTTCCGAGAGAAGAGTGAGAGAAGAGCCAAAGAATCTCTCTCCCAAGAGGAGGTTTGATGTGGCAGCAGCTAAGGCCTATACTCCTGACATTTCCCCGGGCCTAAAATCGTCATGAAACGGTCTAAATCAGTCAATCAAGTTTCTTTTTCGCTTTAAGGTAATACAGACATCGTCACGCAGACATTTAGCTGGAGACATGTTGTCTTTTAAAAGAAAAAAAAAGTTCCTAGGCAATGCGGGGGTGGGGTGGTGGTGGTGGTGTGTGGGTTACACTCAAGCATCTCCAACAGGATTTTTTTTCCACGCAACTTACGCACGGGCCCCCAGACAGCAATACGCTTCACACCTTCAGCTGTCCGTAACAGAGTGGTAGGCAAATGAGTTTGCAAATACTCTAGCTATTATGTAGTTGCAAACTTTCATCCTGAAAACTCATTAGCACGCCGAGCCGCACGTTTATAGAGAAATCTGTCACAGATGTCCGCATTCTAAATAAACCCGCACTAACTACCCCTCCCCACCGACCGTGCTTCTGCCCGCTAAGGGCGTTCTGAGGGTGCTCGGGCTGTCGCAGGGTCTCATGGCGCCAGGACCCACAAACTTTCCAGAAAGTCTAGGCATTCGCTACCGCATGCTCCGCGCTGCCACCAAAAGGGCCACGGTGCTCTGGGGATAGGAAGCGCGGTTCGGCGGGGAATTGCTAAGGGACGCTGTTGTGCTTCTTCCGCAGAAAGCTGCCAGCTGAAGAAGCCCCTGGAGGCGGCCGGAGACTGCAAGGCGGCGGAGGAGAGTGAGAGGCCTAAGCCACGAAGCCGCCGGAAGCCCCGCGTCCTCTTCTCGCAAGCCCAAGTCTTCGAGCTGGAACGCAGGTTCAAGCAGCAGCGGTACCTGTCGGCGCCCGAGCGCGAGCACCTTGCCAGCAGCCTGAAGCTCACGTCCACGCAGGTCAAGATCTGGTTCCAGAATCGCAGGTACAAGTGCAAGAGGCAGCGGCAGGACAAGTCCCTGGAGCTGGGCGCACACGCGCCCCCGCCGCCGCCGCGCCGCGTGGCGGTGCCGGTGCTGGTGCGGGACGGCAAGCCGTGCGTCACGCCGGGCGCGCAAGCCTACGGCGCGCCCTACAGCGTGGGCGCGGGCGCCTACTCCTACAACGGCTTCCCCGCCTACGGCTACGGGAACTCGGCCGCCGCCGCCGCTGCCGCCGCCGCGGCCGCCGCCGCCGCCGCGGCCTACAGCGGCAGCTACGGCTGTGCGTACCCGGCAGGCGGCGGCGGCGGCGGGGGCGGCGGGGCCTCAGCGGCGGCCGCGGCCATGCAGCCCGCCTGCAGCGCGGCCGGAGGCGGCCCCTTTGTGAACGTGAGCAACCTGGGCGGCTTCGGCGGCGGCGGCGGCGCACAGCCGTTGCACCAGGGTCCCGCGGCCGGGGCTGCGTGCGCGCAGGGCACCTTGCAGGGCATCCGGGCCTGGTAGGGACGCGGCGGATCCCCACGCGGCGGGCGCCCCACTGCAACCTGGCACCGCGGGACTGAAGCGCGAGAAAGGCTGGGTCCCAGGGCCAGGTCCTCTCGTTAAAAACAAGCAAAAACAAACAAGCAAAGACAAACAAACAAACAAAAACACAGGTCTCTCTCCCCGGGGGCCCCGGAGCGCAGCTCACGCGGAGCCTGGGGAAGGGGGCTGAGGGGCGAGGAGGTAGCCCGGGATCGGTCGCGGGGACTGCCTCCGAGGCAGAAACCCGGGCTGAGTGCCGGGGAGTACTCTGGCCCCGAAGACAGTGCGAGAGGCTGGGACTCTGGCTGCCGCTGGGTTCTCCCAGAGCAAGAAGGCCCGCTTTCCCCTCGGCCTTCCCGTGGCCTCCTCGAAATGTCGACAGAAGATCCAAGGACAAAAGAAAAAGGAAAGAAAGAGAAGCATGAAGGAGAGAAAACTGGGTGTCGTGGCTGGAGAAATCCCCAAGCCCTGCCGACCCCTCTGCCCCTTTGGCGGCCCAGAGCGCCACGCCACAGTCGATTTTCCTTTTTCCCCACCGCCTGCCCTCCGCAGCAGATACCTCGGCCTGGGTCTCCGGATTGTCAGGGAGTAGAACTCTGCGGGGGGCGGGGGGGGGACCCCAGCTTAGCAAGACCAAACACGGGGCTGGGGGAGCGGAACGAATCTGGGAGCTGGTGGCCCACTGGAGGTGTTAACCAGGTTTCCTTTCTGTTTCATATTCTGTATTCAGCACATATAATATATCTATAACTGTATCCACACGCCGTGTACACACCCGCTGCCATACACTACAGGAGTCAATAAACAAGGTGCAATATTTCCCAACCGTTGGCTACAGACTTTGTTTCGCCCCCCCCCCCTCCCCGAAATGGTGCAGGATCCTTTAAACAGGGCCTGTAGGGAAGGAAAAGGTGTATAAAAGGGAAAGCAGTCTTCCCTGCGCGTTCGCAGGCCGGGCCTCTCCTGAGCTGGCCCCGGGGCTGCAAAGTCTGGCGTCCTCTTGGGTTTTGTTCATTAATTTCTCTTTACTCTTGCGGGAGAACAGGTCGGAGACTGTGGGCCTTTTGAGGTCCCCGGCTTCGTAATCCCCACAGGTTTTACGCAGATGCCTGGGCGAGTGTTTGTGCCTGCGTTAGACCAAGGCTTGGACCCTGCCCCACCTCGAAGGCCGCCCGGGAAAAGGAAACCTCGCCCCCTGGCACGGCCATGCGCGGCGCGAAGGAGGCTCCTTGCGCGGCGGCCGCCGGGGCCTCCAGCGCGCCCAGGGGCGCTGCGCCCCGCCGCGGCCGAAGTCTCCCCCTCGGCCGCCCTCCCTTCTCCCCCGGCGGCCGCGGCTTTATGCGGCTCCTTGTCACTTGCGGAGAATGCCTGTGCGAGGCCTGTGCTGCCACACGGCCGATTGTGAGCGTGCCAAGGCGGGTGAATGGGGAGGCCTCAGAGCGCCGCGCCATTGTGGGGCCGGGCCTCGCTGAAAGACGGCTCCGGGCCGGGAAGGTGCGGAAAGAATGGCTTTTTATTGGAGTCCCGAACAAAAGGTGTGGTAGGAAGGCGAAGTCCCCTGCGCGAACAAAAACCCCAGCGCGTCGGGATTGACGTCCCCCCCGAGCTCCCCATTGCTTCTCAGAGCGGGGGCTTTGTGTAGCAGTCTGCTCGACAGAGGGACGGAGAAATGCGCGGGGGTTTTGTTCCCCACTTTTTGTGCGCTGGGGGAGGGAGCGGCAAGGGGAGACGGGGGCTGGGCGGGCAGCAGGGAGGGGCGCGCTGATTAGGCCGGCCAGCCGCGGCGCGGAGACGTTCAGCGGGAGTCGGCGGCCTGAATGCAGGGTCATTATTGCTACAAGTTTAGCAATTTCGCCCTTACAGGAGGGGGCGGGGGCTGCTAGGCTGCTGCGGGGCCGCCGGGCTGGGATCTGCAGAGACCCGGAGGAGGAGGAGGAGGAGGAGGAGGAGGAGGAGGAGGAGGAGGAGGAGGAGGAGGAGGAGGAGGGAAAAAGGAGAGGAAAGGAGGGAGGCAGGCGAGGGAATCCTCCAAAACCCGCTGACCGCCCAGGATGAGCCTTGGACGGGTCCTAAAGGGCCTAGCGGGAGGCTGGAGAGGCGGCGCCTAGGGGCGAAGACCTCCCTCCCCTCGCCTCTTCCGAGGCAGAAAAACCCAGAGTCCAGCGAAGAGTTACAGTGCACCAGATTGCCGGTCCCTCAGCTCCTTGCCGCCCGTTCCTTCCTCTCCTGAGCCTCCCGGGAGCTGGAACAACTCCTCCTACCACCCCTAACAACCGCCCTGACGCCCCAAGTCCCTTTCCCAGCGAGCCATCTTCTGAAGCTATTATATTCCCAAGAGTTACTTAGGCTAAGGACTGGGGAGGGAGTGCTCGCTTCCTAACACGTTTCTCAACGCCTGCAGCCTTGAACCACTGATTGAACCATTCATCCCATCCATCCATCCATCCATCCATCCATTCATCCATCCATCCTTTACGGAGCACCTGCTAATATATGTTCACTTGCACTGTTCTGGATGCTGGGAATGGTTTTTAAAAAATTGTCTACAGGCTTCTGGAGTTTGTTTTAAGGAATGTACATGGGGGGAGGGAGTTAGACAACAATCAAGTAAATGTAAAAACTATAGATAAATTCTAAAAAGGAAATAGAACCAAATGCTGAATGGAGGGTTCTTTTGGAGTAGGTGGTCAGAGAAAGCCACATTTAAGTTGATACCAGAATGACAAAAGGGAAGCCTGTCCAAACAGGGCTTTGCTGTTGCAACCCCATGCCTCTTCACTTGCCTTCCCCATGATATGGAATGCCCTTCCACCCCCATTTTTCTGGTGAACTCTTACTCCCCCTTCAAAGCCAGGCTTCTTTCCTGAACCACCCAAGTGGAGGTAATCACTCCCTCATATATGCCACCAGAGTCTTAGGTACTTTCCAATATCACAACATAGTGTCATGCAAAGATTTATTTGTTTCTCTCCCTCCTCATGAGGGCCTAGTGAGGTCATGGGGGACCAGGTTGACATCTTTTTCCTCTGGGGCAATTAGCACAGTAAGTAGGAGATCATGGGGCCAGAGTCCATAAGTGCTGCCCTCCTCAGCACATGCAGTGGCCCCAGTGATGAGCTGCGACATTGGGTGCTGGCTTCAAGGGATATGCTAAACTAGACTCTTAGCCCACCTGGGTGGAGCCAAGGTACCTGAAATGGCCTGCAGAAGATGCACAACCCAAGCAGATCACAGAGAAAAGTCCTGTCTTTGGTACCCTGCGATGTTGCCTGGGGACACAGCTTCCCGCAAAGAGATTATTACCCCTCACCCTACAGCTCAAAACATAGAAAAGGAGGTTGAGAATTTGGCAATGACCTGCTACCAAGACACTAAGATTAGGGGATGGGAGGGACACAGAGATAGGGATGAGAGTGAGGACTCAGGCTGGGAGGGGGTGAAGAGCTGAGGTGTGTATGATAAATTGGGGACCTGGAACCGGGACTCACTTCCACCTTTCCCACATTCTGTAGCTGAGGGATATGGTAGGTGATCTGGAGGCTGCCCTGCACTCCAGGAGTGCTCACTTCCAATGCTGGATTTCATCACAGTGCTCTAGGAACCCAAGACTCTGCAACCAGAAACCCTTGCTCTGCTTGGGGGTTTTCCCAAGCAAGCAACTCCTAGTCTGTGTCCTGTGGGCCATGGCCTCTCAATGCTCCCAAGACCAGATCCCCACCTTCCTTGGCCAGGTTTCCTCCTGGCCCACATTAATCTTCCTCCACTCTGCATCCTCTTCTATTTCAAACAGAGGCGTGTGACCATGGTAGAGGAAACAGAGCTGGTTCTAGGGATTGGCTTCCACACAGTTTGCGTGTCTTGAGATACTTAAAGCCAGACTGAACCAGCTCCCTCCTGGCTCACTACTCTTCCCCAGAGCTTGCAGTCTCTGGGTATAAATAGCTCCCATCTCAGGGCTAAAGGATTTCCTTACTGCTAGTTGCTGGCCATCAAGGGTGAAAACTCTTAACCAGCACAGTTACCTCTCTTTGAGCTCCCTCTGCAGGGGAAAAGACACACCCCACCCCCCAGGCCCAAATTGCTGCTTCACTGAATAGTTTTGTAAGCCATGAGGAAGAGTAAAATGCCTCCTAATGATCCATGAGACTGAGTAGGTGAAGCAAGTCATCCTTGTGTGTTCTGGTTTCTGAGCTCTAAAGCAGAGGATAGACCTTATGATTTCAGAAGTCACTTCTAGCTCAAATTCTCCTTACTTCTCTGAATGCATGATAATCCCTCCCTACCCAGTGCCTGGTACCATGCCAGGCTCATGAAGTGGGTAGACACTACTGGTGAGAGAGGTGGAATAGATTAAGGCCAGCAGTTTTTTCCAGCAGAGCCTAATCTTGAGGAGGGTTAAGAGGCTAGGTTCTGGCGTTCAGGCTTCCTTCATTCTAATCTCAGTACCACCACAACCAGTGGTAGAGACTTTAAGTTGGAAGCTCCTGGAACCTCAGTTTCCTCCTCTATAAAATGGGTATGCCACTTCTCTCATAAGTTTTTTTTCTTTTACCTAAGCAAAATGCACAAATAAGAAGTGTGCAATTAAATGAGTGTTTATATATGTAAGTTCTTATGTACCAAGCACCTTGGTTTTGAAAATTAAATGAGGTGATCCTTGTAAAGGCGGCTTAGCGCAGTGTCTGGTATGCGCCCGGCATTGCACCACCGGTGTAGGCCAGGCCGGCGCTAGCTGCGGCGTCTGCGGAGAAGCCCAGGGCCGTCCGGTCTTCGCGGCACTCCCAGGTCCGCAGGCGGAGCGCCGCAGGCCGGAGGACCCGCCACCCCACCGCCGCGGGCGCGCGTCCCCACCGGCAGGCGGAGCCCGGCGCGGCCGACGGGGCTCGGAGAGCTTCGCGGAGTCCGGGACCTGGGCTGGGCCTGGGGAATTCAACGGGGGGGGGAAGGTGAAAGGAGGTTGCGGGCGGAGCGGCGGCCCC